TAAGGCTGAGGAAGGCCATGCACCCAGACATCAGTTCCAATCCCACAACACAAGCCACCAGAACTCATTTCCTCTACGCGACTCCTCAGAAGCCCCCTGCCATGGGCATCCAGTGACTTAGGCAGGGGAAGGCTTTGCCTTTCCAAACCGCCACCCTGGCCTGGCACACGCTCTGCCCCCAGAATGCCTGCTGTAGGTGTTCTGGGGGCAGAGTGTTGCTGCCCCCCAGTGCCTGCTCTCCCTGTGCTCCCTGCTCTCTCTGGGGCTCAAGCCACATGCCTCCCACCTCCCCGCTGCTCCTGGAGGTGGGGAGGCTTGGGCCGGCTCAGGCCGTGCAGCCACCTCCCTTCCTGCTGCTCTGGGGCCAAGGAGGCAAGAGCAAGATGGCCTCCTCCCTGCCTGCTGCTTCCAGGCTGGGATGGGGGGGACATGTGGCCTTTTCATTCCCCACTGCTCCGGGGATGCTGGGGCATGTGCACGTGCTCTTCCCCTCTCCATGGTGGGGGGTGCGCACATGACATGCTCTTCTTTCTCCCCTCTCTGTGGTGGGGGAAGGGCCTCAGTAGAGGGGGTGGAGTGTAGGTGGGGCTGGGGGCCTGCCTCTCCCAACCCCAGTTGCACTGACAGCTAATAATGTGGTGCAGCTGATTTCAATAGCAGCTCAGACACAGAAGAGATTCTGAGGGGGCTCTTCTCACAACATCCCTCTCCAGGTACCTTGGCTGATGCAATTCCTCTTTATTAGGGAAACCGGGGCAGTAGCATGATCTGCCTGCAGATATTATTTGAGTTAGAAGCTTAAGAGATTCTGTTTACCCTTCGCTTTTCTAAATCTATCTCAAGCACCATGCACCTTCCAGTGGAGAATCCAAGTTGGTATTAATCTGTGTTTGTGTTTAATATTCAGTAGTGATATGTATGTTGTCTAAATCGATACACCTTATTATGAAGCAAATTCTGTGGCATTTCATTTTATGTAATTCCATGCACAGGAGAGAAGACAAATCACCAGCAAAAATTAAAAAGGACAAAGTGGTACAATTTATAACCCCATTCCACAAACTTAATAGATAGCAATAATTAAAATTCTGAATATATATTCTTCATATGAAAAAGCATAACCCGAATCCATTTTAGGACAACTATAAAAGGGACAGTAAATGCTTCATATTTAAATCATCCAGATGCCAGATAACATTGCAATTTTGTAATTTGGTATTTTGTGATCCTCCACCAATATTTCCATTCCATTGTACAAAGGAGATATTCCTATTTGGTATGTATAAAGTGGGAGCACATGTCAATTATTTCTCATTGGAGCTACCCAGCACTTCACAATAATTTTACAAGCTGGAAAAACAAATACAAAGACTAGGTTGGTTGCTGTGCTGCCTCAAACAAGAGCAAAAAGGAAACTGCCCCTAAAGATACAATACATGGGATGGGGGCATATTCAGCTTCACATCAAGGAAGAAAGTTTCACAACTGCCAAACTCCACGTGGCAATTAAAGTAATTCCTGAAATTCTCTTCTTCCTCATCCTGAAAATGTGCACTGATACCAAATAAGAATACGCATACGGAAGTGTTTCCAGGACTATCATCCATCTCTTTAGCCACCAACCTGATCATCATAGAGAATTACAGTCTGCAGCCAATAATTGCTTTTAAGTGCAGGAGACAATAGATATGTTTACACAGGATTTGCAGAGGCTTTGTTGACCTGAATTCATACTTCATTCATTTTAGCTTTCTTGCTTTGAATTGCATGCTCCTTTATGCCTGTGTTTTATTGGTTGCTGTTCAGCAGCGTTGCCTACGCCAGATTAAAAGTAATCTCTTCCACATCCCTGGTTTTACTAAATGCTGCTTCTTGGCTCTGGGAGAGGGTCTGGCTCCTAGCAGTTAAGCTCGTTTGCTTAGAAATTGTTTGTGCATCACTTTAGAGATGTAACTTCTTGACATTGCAGATTTTGTTTGTGCATCACTTTAGAGATGCAATTCCCTGACAAATGACAGCGTGACTGAGAGCGGGCAGACACAGAGTTGCTATTACAATATTCAAACATTAAGCAGGTTGAATTAAATTAACTGGAAGTATAAACAATGGATATAAATGAGGCCATAAATGAGGCAAAAAATGAGTAAGTGCCAATGTAAGGTAAACTGTACTGATTTTGAATTCATATGTTGTGATAAGAGAATCTTATCACCAGTCAGTTACCCAGAGTTCATGAGGGAGTGTTGTAGAAGAAGAGGGTGTGGTCCCACACAGAAGGGGGTGTGACAAAAAACAATAACTTGTAAACTCTACTGGTATCTGTCTGCTATGTTACTTAAAGCCCGACTGCTGGGATCAAGTCAGAGATTACGCAAAAAGCTCAGCTTTCACTTTGTTAAAAAAAAACTAAGCTTCCCGCCCTCACCTTTCTGAAGATGAAAAGCTTTTAAAGACTATGCAACCAGTAGGCAAATACAAAGAACCCAATATATTTTTTTAAAAATCATGGTTTTGGATGACTGTCTCATGAATTTTGAACACTTGGGACCAGCACTACTACAGCTAAATTCCTGGTCAGGCAATTCATTGGTCATTTTCATTTAACCTAGTGGAATCAATCTTTGGCAAAGACTGCTAGCCTCAAGTAATAAGGATTTTTCACATATATTACAAATCTGACAAATTTTCAATGTTTAATATATTCTGATTTTTTTAAAAAAATACACATTAGCCACTTCTCGGGGATTTTCTGAGACTTTCTAGTTAGAGCAGAAACAGCAGGTTGCTGGGGTTTAGGACATTCTATTAACTTTGTTAAAGTAACAAGGACTTCTCCTTGCCAAAAGTGACTTTTGCTTGTAATCCCAGGTTGGGACACTGATTAAATAAGCTAAATAAATAAATGTGCATTCTTCTCTAATATTTTCAAATATATTTTAGAATATCTAGAGTAGTGTATGTTGTTACCCGCACCCTTTTCCTTATCCCTTCCACACATTAGGGATACACACCTTTACCCAATTCCTAGGGCTCAGGATGTAACTTCCTATGGGTTTGCAGGATCTTTGCCACAGAAAGAGCCTTATACAGTACTAAAGTGACACACACATAAAGCAAGGGCTCATGAAGTGAGGTGTGTGCTGATTGCACACAACATTGGATGCAAGAGCCAGGCGTTCCCCTGCATCCAATCAAAATGCTTCTGCAGTTCAGTCGGCATACCACACAAATTCTAGATACGCAAGTGCAGTAAGCAAAACTACACCATCCCGGGATACCATCGTGGTTACAACAATCTTGTGGCTCACTGAGATAGAGGGCCACGCCTAAACCCCACTCTCTAGCATAGGTTACCCCTTGCTGTCCTAGACCATCCCTCACAGATGTTTGTCCAACCCCTTATTAAAAATCTCCAGTGATAGGAATTCCAATGAAGCCTATTCCAGTGCTTAACTGCTCTTATGGTCAGAAAGATTTTCCTTTATAGCTGACCTAAATCTCCCGTGCTATAAATTAAGCCCACTACGTCCTGTTCTACTTTCAATGGACATTGAGAACAGTTCTCCTCATAACAGCCCTTAACATATTTGAAGACAGTTACTGTTGTGGGCTCCTACTCAATTTATGATCTGCTATAATCCCCAAAATCCTATTTGGCAGTGTTATCATCTGGCCAGTTATTCTCCATTTTGTTGTTGTGTGTTTGATATTTTTTTTTTTTTGTAAGTGCGGCACTTTCCACTTATCTTTATTGAAATTCATCTGGCTGGTTTCAGATCAGTTCTCCAACTTGAAGGTCATTTTGAATTTTCATCCTGTCCTCCAAAATTCTTGCCACCTCTCCCAGCTTTGCTGTCATCTGGAAAATTTATAAGCATACTCTCCACTGCATTATCCAAATTGTTAATGAAAATATTGTATAGTACTGACCCCAGAACTGACCTCTAGAGGATTCTACTCTAAATGCCCTCCAAGTTTTACCGCAAATCATTAATAACTATTGTTTGAATGCAGGTTTCCAACCAGTTCTGCACCCACCTTATAATAATTTCCATCTCACCTGCATTTCTTATGAGACTGTCACATGGGACTGTGTCAAAAACTTTACTAAAATCAATACATAGCACATCAACTGCTTTTTCCCACCCACAAGGCCAGCAACCCTGTCTAAGAAGGAAATTAAGTTGGTTTGGAATGATTTATCCTCCAGGTGCTTACAAATTGATTGTTTCCTAATGTATTCCAGTATCTTTCCAGGTATCGCAGTGAGGCTGGCTAGATTATAATCCACCAGGTCCTTTTTGTTCCTTGTTAAGACTTGGTAAAATATTTGCCCTGCTCCAGCTCTCTTGAACCTCGCCCATCCTCCAGGCATTCTCTGGATATGTCTATACTTGCAGCCTATTTCAGAATAGGGCTTCAAATGTAGGCATTCAGAATTGCAAATCAAGCCCGGGATTTAAATATCCTGCGCTTGACTTGCATCTTCCCGGCCAGGCGCCATTTTCTGAAATTTACAAGCCCGGAATAACTGCCCGCGTCTACACGCAGTGACGAAACGGGCGTTTGAAATAAAGCCCTATTTCAAACTACCTGTTATTCCTCCTGCAATGAGGTTTAACAGGTAGTTCAAAATAGGGCTTTATTTTGAACGCCTGTTTCACTGCTGCGTGTAGACGCGGGCAGTTATTCCGGGCTTGTAAATTTCAGAAAATGGCGCCTGGCCGGGAAGATGCAAGTCAAGCGCAGGATATTTAAATCCCGGGCTTGATTTTCAATTCCAAATGCCTCCATTTGCAGCCCTATTCCAAAATAGGCTGCAAGTGTAGACATACCCTAAGATACTTGCTCTGGGTTCCAAGACTGCTTCAGTTTATTCCTTAATACTCTAGGCTGATTTGCCAACTTGAATACATCTAACTTATCTAAATATTCTTTAATCTGTTCTCTGTTTTGGCTTTCATTCCTTCCCACTGACTGTTATCATCATTAACCTTTTTAGTGAAGATTTGAGCAAAATAGGCATTAAACTCCTCAGCCGTCTTGATGCTGTTGATTTTCCTACTCCACAGTGGTGCAGAAACATTTTTAAAAGTTGGGATGCTGAGGTCCCTTACGCCTGTCCACTCCCACTCCCAGCTGAGGACAGGAACAAAGCCCTGGTACATAGGACTGGCAGCCAGGACCCCTGACATACAGGGCTCATACCAGTACCCCAATACAGGGGGCTGGCAAAAGCACCCCTGGCATATGGGGTGGCAGCCAGGAGCCCAGATGTAGGGCTTGAACCAGGATCCCACTGAGACCCTGGGCATATGGCCAGCAGCAGAGGCCCCCCCAGAGTACAGGCTCAAACCAGCACCCCTGCACACAGGGCCAGCAACAGCCCCCCTGGCACTTGGGATGGCAGTCAGGAGCTTCGGTGCAGGGCAAGCATCTGGGACCTCTGGCTCCCATACCCATTCTGTACCTGGGGTAGGCAAACTACAGCCCATGGCTATTTTAATCTGGCCTTTAAGCTCTCAAGCTTACCTTGCTTTATGTGGATCCTGAAAGCAGCAGCATGTCCTTCCTCTGGTTCCTATGCATAGGCACAGGCAGGGGGCTTTGCACATTGCCCCCAGTAGGAGTTGCAAGGGCAGCGCCTGCAGATCGGGTAGCACACAGGGCCACCTGCCAACGCCTACACGCAGAGGAGACAGGAGGGGACGTGCTGCACATCCACAAGAGCTAGAAACTTACCTTTTCCTTAAGAACTAAGGCTGAAATTATCACATACTGCCTTGACTGCAAGACTTGAACACTGAAATCTCTTCCCAGCAGACTTTTCCTAGAATAACATCCTGTGACTAAGGAAGATGAAGCCCCAAACTTTATCCTTACCTGGATAATGGACAAGAACACAGCCCATGCCCCTGACTCCTTGACCCTACTTCCCAGGGCACAATAGTCACTGTTCATGGAATCATAGATGTCAGGATTTTCTTTCTTTAAGCTTTTCCATCCCAGCATGTTTCCCATAGAATGTAATGGAATCTTTGTACTATTTTAAGGAAAGGAAAGAAAGAAAGAATGCTCCGAGGTCCACGAGGGCATCGTCTGTAGAATAGGGGGTTGCTTTTGTGTGTCTGTGCATATCTATGTTCTTTATTAATGGTGATGATGCATGAGAACAGATCCCAGCTTGATTCAGTTTCCAGTCTGAGTAAAAATAAACATATTTGTAATTTGAGCACATTAGATTGGAATATGATTGCAACATGAGAACTGTACTTTAAGATAGCCTGGCCAAGTTTTAAACTGGGGAATTAGCATCTTTGTATCCCATTCCCCTTTCAGATTCAAATGGATCCTTGTTCACTTTCACTCCTAAATTACTGGTAACATTGACATATTTTCACCATAAAAGTGACTGTATTGCAAAGGGGGGTTAAATAATCCCTCTATTAAGTATAATTTCTGAACCACTTTGTGCTCCTTTTAGATGAAATACACAATATAATTGAGTCTTTATCATTTTTAGTGGGGAAATTTGCTAAATTTTCATTCCATCCCTTGTTCCATATTTCTTTCAGAAATGTTGAGATATTTACTTTAAAAACAAACCAGTGTACACTATTTGACAAGAGTTATCAATTATTTAAAACTTTGGACAAGTCATATTGAAAACCAAAGGTGCAGAGAAGGGCAATGAAAAATGTCAGATACAGAACTCTACATCAAAATGTAAATTTCCTTTAAAGACATCATTGTTGTATAAATTCAAAGTTGTTTATCTATAAAAACCTATTAAAAATAAGAAATGTTTAAGAGAATTATTAAACCTTATGAGATGGAGAATGGAATTAATATTGGAAAGGGAATTCATGTTTAATAGAAGGATCAATCTGTTGTACGTAGTCTGCTCACTTTAATTAAATTTGGTTTGCATTGTTAAAAAATGCCAATCACTATCATATCTATGCCATATTATACCTTTGAAGAGTTCCTAATCTTTCCAGTTAGCTAAGAAATGAACATTGTTCCTGCTCAGGATATGCTATCTACTAAAAAAGTACTTACATATCAATAGAAATTGACTTTTCTATTTTTTTCTATACTAATCTTTTCTAAAATATCTTTTGGGAAGTGATTAGGAAGAACTAATTTCAGTTTATGAAAATCACAGGATAGTAACAGATTATAACAAAAATGCAAATGGACTATTAATAGCATAGTAATTGGGACAACACTATTACAATTTGTAAATTGCAGTTGGAGTGAAATTGGGGCCCTATTCAAGTCAGTGGGACTCTTGTTATTTAATTTGGTTGTGTTGGGATTTTATCCCGGGTTTCCAGTTTGTTGCTAGTTTAGTTTGGGTCCAGAAAAATACTTGTCCATGTAGCTATTTTGTTACTGTATAAATTTGTGTTGAAATAAATTGGGAATATAATATTTATTAATAGATATACCATATGCCATGACACACTATAAAAACTCATTTTAAAAAAACTCTTGGGAGCTGACAATATGTCACCAGAAATGCTGTGACGTACAGCGGTGAAGGGGGTGTTGTGCATATGAGAAGAAGGAAAAATAGGTAGATTAACCTTAGCTTTCATAGCCCATGTGTGATCTACTATCAAATCTAATTATTCTGTATTTGTCTGATTATGGGGAATGAATGCCTCCTCAGTGAGCATCCAGACAGGCCAATTATACTATAAATAATTTGAGGTATTTATTTAATATGACAGACTGACATGCTGAATAGATGTTTTACATTCATCCAACTCCTGAATGATTTGTTTTTCTGTGCATACCTGGAATATCCATCACATTCTATGCTGGCTTTTTTTTCCTTTGAAAGGAAATCATTTTCAGACTTCATTTTCAGACTTCCTTACAGTAACTTCTGATAACAGTGTTTTCACCTTCATTGAGCTGGACATCTCCTGTACATACTTAACCTACTAGGAGAGAAAAATATTGAATCTTTGGACTCTGCCTGCTATTGAAATAAAATTCAGCTGTAAATTGACATTGTTTTTTAAATACTTTACTATTTCTTGCCTGATGATGATTGTAATGTTTATTATCTGAATGTTTTTGGCTAATAAGGAAGGAGTCTGTCAGTGTTCCCTGTTAGCTGAGTGCTTGGGCAAGCACCCAGAGGAGATTCAAAAGCCATGCACTTTTCAAGAGCACCCACAGCCGGCAGTATGTTTCTCTGCTAGGCATGTAATAGTGTAGTCGATTAACAGATAAGCAAAAGCTTATAGGTTAATGCTATAGACTATATGCATTTCCCCAACCCTCCCTTCTCCCCGCTGATTCTCCCCCCCCCCAGAAAATTTGTTACCAGGCGGGCCAGCAGCCTGGTTCAGTCATGGGTCACGCTGGGTCCGGGACCTATCCCTGTTGTGGCTCTGCTTTAAAGGTGTAGTGGGAGCTGGGCAGACAGGCAACCCAGTTCAGACTCTTCCCCCCAGCCCCAGACAAGGGCTGCTGCCACCTCTTTATCAGAGGCAATAGCACAGGGTTATGGGAAGCTGATCCATGAAGGGAGCTGTTTTTTTAAACTGGTATTTAAAAAATTTAAATTGGGAATATAATATTTATTAATAGCTATACCATATGCCATGACACACTATAAAAACTCATTTAAAAAAAACCATGACCCGCGCTGCTTGCCTCTGGCTCCATGGGAGTGAGGTGCACTGGCTGCTGGCCCCACCCCCAGGAACTATAGAATAGTGGACTAACCAAAATGAATTAATGAGGTTACTTGATTATTCAATTAACCGATATTTAACATCTAATTTCTACCCGTGGTGCACATCCACACATGCATTGGATTACATCATAAAATGTATTCCATGCATGGATGGAGAAAACATTGGAGTCAGTTCTGAAAAAGTATATGCTTTTAAATATATAAAAGTTTCACTAATTAACCCCTTTGTTTTCCAAAGAAGTAAAGCATTAGAAAAAAATACACTTACATAAAACAGTGGAAGAAAATTCTGAAAGAATCTTTCAATTTGGTAATGTGGTCTGTCTGAGCACTGCCTTACTAATAGTGTAAGATGATTTATTACATAGAAAATGTTCTTGGTTGAACTAAATTCCTTATTAGTGCCAGAGGTTGACCTTAACAGAAATGCTAGGTCCAAACAGGTACCAAACTTCAGGGCAGCTGGTGGTCAGATTTGAATTTGACGACGGAAGTCACCTCCCTGTAATAATCCAGACAGGAATGTTGTTGCTTCACTGCCTTGCACCTTGTGTAGTGATGTAATCTGGGGGTTTTTGAAGAAAGCTAAATGAGTTAAATGTCTAAAAACCAGTAGGAGTGGAAAACCCCAGTCTTGCCTCAGTATAAAGTGAGAACAACACACCATGGAATCAGTCTGACCTGCAAGGAGGCAGGAAAGAGCTGGAGTTGCAAACGTCAGTTCTGGATCTGAGTTCGAAGATAAGTTTTCTCTACTGGGCATATTCTGGGACTAATTCTTCACTGCCCTGTCCTTTACACAGTACAAATCTGAATTAGTAGCATTTTACCTCCACTTGCACTTCCTTTGTATTGTGTAAAGGACAGGGCAGTGAAGAATCAGTCCCAGAATATGCCCAATAGAGAAAACTTATCTTCGAACTCAGATCAAGAACTGACATTTGCAACTCCAGCCCTTTCCTGCTTCCCTGCAGGTCAGATTGATTCCATGGTGTGTTGTTCTTATACAAACAGTCAATATGATTCCATTCCTGTGATAAATGCATGTTCACGCTAACAACATATACAGTAAGGCTATGTCTAGACTGCAGGCTTCTTTTGAAAGAGGCTCTTTCGAAAGCATCTTTCGAAAGAGCCTCTTTCGAAAGATCGCGTCTAGACAGCAGGCGGATCTTTCGATAGAGGAAATCCGCTTTTTCGAAAGAGAGCACCCAGCGAGTCTGGATGCTCTCTTTCGAAGACGGCCTCTTTACATTGAAGAACGCCTTCCTTCGAAAGAGGAACTTTCGAAGGAAGGCGTTCTTCCTCGTGAAACGAGGTTTACCGCCATCGAAAGAAAAGCCGCGTTCTTTCGAAATAATTTCGAAAGAACGCGGCTTGAGTCTGGATGCAGGGGAAGTTTTTTCAGGAAAAGGCTACTTTTCCCGAAAAAACCCCTGAGTCTGGACACGGCCCAATAGTAAGCCCTTGTCCCTCGTGGGACTAAATGCTAGAGCCCTTTCAATTCTCTGGAAGATAAACTTCAGCCAAATATTAATTACTGAACTTACAATGATGTAACAAAGTGAAATTTAACAACCTATGATGTGCAAGAGGTTAGATTAGATGTTCTAATGATCTCTCCTAGCCTTAGAATCTGGGTCTATGAATCTATCATCATGACAGAAAAGGATTTTGTTTTAGAAATCAAATATAACCTGTTTCCAATATAATCTTGATATGTAAATTATCATCAAGCACTTCTAAAATATAAGAAGGCACAATTTTGAGAACTTGTATCCCCTTATCTCTAAAAGATGAATGCTGCCAGATTTGTTTGCAAAGATGAAATATATGATGAATTTAAGACATGGCTTATCTTCATAAGTTTAGGAAATATGCAGCTTAATGAATAATTCATCCAGATAAAAACCATCATGAATTAATTGTTTAAACATCTGAAAAAGTCTTATACTGAAGATAATTTATTGCTTAGGCAGCCAGAGTATTAAAAGTTTCCACAGTAAAAAGAAATTACATGACAGATTTCATCATGGTTTTCTCTATGTCAAAACTACATCTCTCTTTCGAAAGAGGGATGTAACTTAGGCAGATCAAAAGTGCAAATGAAGCGGGGATTTAAATATCCTGCACTTCGTTTGCATAATTGCGTCACAGCGGTCTTTCAAAAAAGGGTATTTTGAAAGTGAAACCTCCATCTAGACGCGGTTCTTTCAGAAAAAAAACTTTTTTGAAAGATTAAAAAATGAGGAGTACAGGATCTTTCAAAAAGGGGGGGAGGTTCAAAAGATCTGCGTCTAGACAGTGGTTTCACTGTCAAAATATCCTTTTTCGAAAGATCGCTGTGACATGATTATACAAATGAAGCGCAGGGTATTTAAATCCCCATTTCATTTTCACTTTCGATCTGCCTAATTTACATCCCTCTTTCGAAAGAGGGATATAGTTTAGACATACCCTATGTGTCTATACACTGAAAAGGTGTGGCAAAACTTTGTAATTGCTATAGCGTTACCAGTTTACACCACGGTCTTCCTGGGACAGGATGTACAGTGGAGAAAAAAAAAAGACCAGTTTTATTGATCCTAAGATGCAGAGATGTAGGATTGGAAGTGCAGTTACACTCTTTATCGGGGTGGACAGAATATGGCCCATGGGCTATATCTGGCCTGGATCTGGCTTGGCACAGCCCGTTAGGAATCTTGAGCAGTCTATCTGTCTGTCATGGGCACACACACCACTCAAAGTGTCTGACTGGTGGGTCCAATACGTGTGTCTCTGTGCAGCGCCTCCCTTTCAGAGGGGTCTCCATACGCTGCCCCACCCTCCAGTATGGTACTCGTAGCTCCCATGGGCCAGAATTTGGAGCCTGCAGGAGTGTGCTGTACATGGAGACCCAAGGGGTGCACTGTGCACACATACACACATGCTGGCTCCAGCAGCCAGCTGCTCTGAGCAGTGTGGAGAGCCATGGCAGTCAGGAAGTCTGTCCAAGGGTCCCACTTGGCTGCTGACTGGGCGCCACCTATAATAAGTGCTTCCCAGCCAAAGCCTGCACCTGGCACCTCACCTCTGCCCTCAGCCCTGCCCCCTGCCCTAGGTCACAGCCCATCTTGCATCCAAACCTTCTCCCAGACCTTGCACCGCCTCCTCATCTCGATCCTTGGCCCAGATCCCCGCCCCCTTGCCCAAACCCCACCCCCACTCCCTACACCGTCTCCTGCACCCCAGTCCCCTAACATGAGCTCCCTTCTGCAGCAACCTCCATCCCAGTCCTGTCCTCATTGCGTAAATCATTTCACCTCTGTGTGTCTCAGGTGCCCCTTACGCCATCTGTCTTGTCTATGTAGACAGCAAACCCTTCAGGACAGGGAGTGTCTTTCACTGCTTGTACAACACCCACCATAATGGACACTCCTCGGTTTGTTTACCAAGCAGTCTCTTCCCCAGGTAGCCCATCCCCTGATGGATCTATGTCCAAGCAGCTACCTGTGCAGCCTGCCTCTTCCCTCTTGATTATTAACTACAACCCTCCCTTCAGGTTTGATAATTTTGGCAAGAGTTCCAAGGTGGATCTCCTGTGAGTCTCTGACTCCAGGACAGATCATTAACGTCTTCCTCTCGTGATGCAGTGTGGGATGTGTAATCCCCATTACCCTAGACCATAAGTATTTGGGAAGGGATATATGATCCACACGTGCTGTCAATGTAAATATACCCAATGCTAAAACGACATCACCTCTGGATGGAAAAAACAGGTTCCCAGGCCTGGCACAGATTCTTAGTAACTAACCTGAGGTGCCGAAAGGACCAGTATTCAAGTACTCTGATTTTATGTTCTCAGATCAGCCCAGTCTTACACTCCATCTAGTTTTAAAGGCTCCTTTTCTGTGGAAAATCACTGCAAGCTTTTCAAGGATTAATCAAACTCTGCTACCAGGATTACGGAGTTTGTGAGAAAGGGAAACAGGCTGGAAAATCAAATGCTAATACATGCATATGTCTCCCTGTGTATTTAAATATTCATATTATTTTTCATCCACACATGTAGTGGAGGCCAGAGGGGAGCCTGTGAAATAGTGATCTTAGCCAAGCCCGTTGGCTCCCATAAGTGCCTGCACAGTGGCAGTGGCAGGAGTTTATTTCCTGAAACGTCCTTTTAAAAGTTACAGAAAACCAGTCAAAATTAAATTACTATATTGTTAAATACCGAGATCATCTTCCACTGAATTCTCTCTGGCATGATTAATAATAGCATTATTGGTGAGACTTTCCCTGAATACACATGCTTTGCAGGCCTAAACTATAAATAATGTAAAGGGAAACACTTTTCAAATCAATAAATAGTACATTGGATGCAATTCCAGAAGAGTTTGGCTCATATTTTCCTCTGTCAAGGTGCAGTGATCCCTTACCTTTATTTTTTTTATATTTGTATTCATTTATTTCAATAATACAGGCAGCTACAGTGGAAGTACTTTACTGGGGATATCAAGTGCTACAGTAGGGTTGCCACGTGTCCAGTTTTGAACCGGACAGTCCAGTATTTGAACTTTCTATTTGGGAAACAAATTGAGAAAATATAAATGTCTGATATTTTCTCAATAAGATGTAATGTAGATTGTGATGTAATGTCAAGTGTGTCCGGTATTTTTGTTGAAACTATCTGGCAACCCTAGCTACAAAAATACATATAGAAGAACACAGAGACCTTCTAGCTCCTTAGCTCTCTTTTCCTATGGATAGCTAGTAAATTCGCTCACCAATTCTTTTATAAGGGGGTTTGAATTTGTTTTTAGGGGATTTCAATATGAATTTGATTCCACACCAAAAAAAAAAAAAAACCCTTAACAAAGTTCATGTTAATTGAAAATCCTGATTATTAGTCTCATTAGGGAAGTCAAGGAATTAATATAAAGTGAATGCTCCTCTGTTGCCTATAGGTTATCTTTCCAGATTTGAACTCAGGAAGAATTGGCCTCAGTCTCCAAGTTTTTCCATGCAGGATCGAAGCCCTAGCTTACAAAATGAATAGAGGCATATAGCTGCCATAAAACATGGACAGAAAATTTCATGTACACCAATGCCAAAAATGATGCTGGAATAGAAGCATGAGATCTGCTGTCTCACCCCTTTGTTGTATTTGTTTCATAGAAAAAAGATGGACTAATGCTGCCAGTTTAGCTCCTTACTCAAGTGCTACATTTTTTTAAACAAAAGAAGTTTAAATTGCTGCTGAGTCCTGTTGTGCATTTGACACATCAATAAGCCGTTTTCCAAACATGATTCAATTAGAATCATTCCATCATTGGTCTTAAAGTGGGCCACAGACACTACACGAGTCATGCCAATTCCTACACATTCCTGACTTTCTTCTTCTTTCCAGGCAATTCCTATCAGCTCAGTTTGGATATTCAATATGGCCCTTTCCTTGGGAGAGATGCAATCCCATCATTGCTAGCAATCAGGGCTTGAGCCACATGGAGTGTTAAAATGTGTATGGTTGGAAGGAGGAAGATCTAACACTCTTTGATCTGGTGCATGCTAACTCAGGATCTTGTTCTATTGATTGTTGAGCAGGAAGCACTACTGTGTATTTTGAAAGGTAACCTTACTCCATGTGAGTCTAGCCATGTGGTTGGGTAGAACTTCATGAAACTCCATGGTGCCA